TGAGTGAGGTGGGAATAAAGGTTCTCGTGGAGCTATTTAAAGTTTATGATACCTATTAGATATTCTAGATCTAAGCAACGGCATTAAGTAAGCAGCTGAATATGCAAGTTTGGAGCTCAGGGGAGACACTGGAATTGTTTATATTAATTCAGTTGTCATCAGAATGTAGCTGTTTCAGAGGAGAATGCAGAGTGGAAGGGTCTAAAAAGTTTCTACTCTGTTTTGGAGACGATTCACTTTTTTTGGGCATGGAATTTCTTTCTTACAAAATAAGGGTTTGAAGAATGTTATTAGAGATTTCCAACTCCAGTCTTTTATGCTTAGAGGATCTCCCCTTGTAAGTTACTGTTTTGTTTTTTTCTTTTACAAACCTTTAAGGAATTTTGCCCTTGGAAGAAAAGATCATTTTGCCATTCAGGCTTCTTGTGCAGTTATCACAGCATTATTCATTCTGGCATTTTTCTCCTTTGTGATTCCTTTAATTCATCAGAAGTATAGATGATGCCAAAGAAACTGGAACAAATGGCATTGTTTCTGTACTGCACACTAGAAACTGTATATACAGTTTCATATCCATATCTATGTCAGCGAGGTTGTAAATACTGACCAAATTTGATTCATGGATGAAATGATGCGATTTCTGGGTACGTCCGTGACCTCGGACATATATTAACATATCCAATTTTAGAAGGTTTTCTGTTAAAATATACATGTGATATATTCTGTGAACACTCAGCATTTTGTCAGTGTTAGAGATTTTCTTGGACATACTTGCTATCTTTGGGAAATTATATTCCAGTAATTTCACACGTAGTTCGTCTGGCCTTTGGCTGCACCAGCACTAGTAATATTAATCTCTTACTTTCAAAGATGCTATGATTTTATCTTGTTTTCCTTTCTAAAAGGCTTCACCCTCACTGACATGTATTAATATTCTATTTAAATTGCCAATGGATTTGACATTTTTGCAGTCATTACTGACTTGTGTAACAAGAGAAATTTGGTTGAATAGTGTTGATGAAAGCCTATTTGTTGGGAACTCTATAGCAAATGGGAAAAGAAAAATGAAGACAATGAAGAGAGATAATTCAAGGAGTTTTGTTGTGAAGGAATGCACATAATGGTTTTGGAGGGGGGTCAGGGGAGGTTATATTTAAGACGGATGATAAATCCTGAAAGAGAACAAATGAGCACTCCAGCAAAGAGGGGAAATGTGCTATGGACGACAGAGTGGCTAATTGCTGGAATGGATAAGATCAAGGCATTAAGCTGAGGCATTGACTGAGATAGGAGTACAGTTACTGCCTTCGTTGTAATGAGAGGAAGGGTGAAAGGGACAGTTGATTTCTCTGCTGATGCTTCTATTTTCTCAGTGAAATAAGAAACAAAGATATCAGCAGGGACTGCGGGAAGAGGTCTGGATATTAGAGATCTGAGGAGAGAGGATTTAGTTTGAAATAGTCATTGAAAGAGAGGGAGTAAATTAGAGCAATGGCGTAGGATTGCCAGGTAGAGGTAGCATGAGGGTCCATTTGAGGGTTATGATCATGAATTGGAAGAGAAACACTCAGCATGATTGCAAGTTGTTTGTTTATTCATTTCCTAGCTTTTTCAGCTGCTTGGGTTTGGCAGAGATTTACTGTGTTTCCCCGAAAATAAGATCTAACTGAAAAATAAGCCCTAGCATGGTTTTTTAGGATGCTCGTAATATAAGCCGTAATATAAGTTAAGATCGTCTGTCAGACATGAGTGTTTGAATAAATGTAGATTTTTGTGCTTGAGTAAATGAATAAATGTAGATTGTTGGAGAAGAAATTAATATAAGACCTGATCTTATTTTAGGGGAAACATGGTAGTATTAATCAAGGTTAGAAATCTTACTTTTGAAAAGGGCAGGGGAGTTGAAGATAATGTAAGGGAGTGATGTTTAATGATGGAGAATTGAACCTAGTCCAGGAAGGAGGGAAGTGAGGGAATGGGGGGAAGGGGGTGATAAGCAGTGAGAATGTGGTTGGCTCATTAGCATGGAGGACCTTCCAAAGATGAGGGATGGTTAGGGTCAGAATATTATGAGGATGAGCCAGAAGAAAGAAATGATGTTTGAAACTCAGATTTAGGAGAGTACACAGTGACTGATAAAGACCAGGTCTAGGGCGTGATCATGGTGATGGGAGCTGCGGTAGAGCGGAGGACAAGACCCCTGGAAGTTGGGAGGTCAAGTCACTGACAGGCCATGCTGGAACTGGGGCTGGAGAGAAGAGGAGGAATAGCAACAGAAAGGTCTTTTTGCTTAGCAGATGGTAGTTGTAGCTTCCCCTTGGTTATTAAATACTCCTGGAGTCAGGCGTCTAGAAGCTGAGTAAGATGCAGAGTCACCCTTCAGTATGCAAGGACTTTTGACATGGCGTTTCCTGGACACTGGTCATGTGCTCTCTGACCTTTCATGAATGACCTTGAGTTCCTATGCTGTGACCACACATCCCATATAATTTTTTTCCCTTTGTCCTTATAGAGGCTCTTTCTTATAGGCAGGATATTTTGAACACCTCTCAGAGGTGTCTGTTTGACTCACAGGTATCATTGGTCCACCAGCTCTGATGATCTAGCCCACTGAACTTGTTGAGCTAAGCTTTGGTAGTGAGAGCTTCTCTGGCTCAGCAAGCATGCTTCCAGAAAATGAATAGCAGCAATCTCCCTGCAGACAGTCCCCTGAGGGGCTCCTGCAGCCTCCTTTAGCTGACCAACACGTTTTTGTAGATAAATCCCTTCTCTCTGAGACAAGATTCTCTAACCTGCTCTTGTATGTTGTCTGAGGTGGTGGATGGAGGTAAGAGTTACAGGACTGACTGATCTCTCTGTGAAGAATGAATGGGTATTTGTCACCCAGTGTCCTTATCCCTGATGTCCCAGCCAAAACTGGGACTTTTCCATTGAAATCCTGCTTGTTTCTATGGTGTTACATATTCTTTTTCTAACAGCCCATTAAATGGGATTCTACAACTGTGTAGTCAGAGTTCGGGAATATTACATTGTCTTCTTCAAAATCCCAGCCATGTGCAAGGTATTTTGTATTTAAGACATAAAGAGCTGATGAACATTCAGAATTGGTACAAAAGTCCTGCAGACAGTTTCCTAAAAAGTACTTGAAGACCTTTAAAGCATGATGGGATGCATGCCCTCCTCATGCTGACTACCCAGGAATAATAGAAGTTAGATTGTAGGCACAAAGGAAACTGATATGTAAATGTGCCTTCTTCATTTTGATAGGAATTTTGACTGGTAGATCATCTCTTGGCTTGATCGTGCCTCACTTTGGTGATTGATGATGCTTAGGTCTTATATATAGTTTATGCTAAATTATATTTTATTTTGCTAGAATCTTATTCTCAACCCAAATATGTTATAACCTGTGTCACTCTATGCAACATCATCTTCCAGCGTTCTGTCTCTGGTCTTCCTGTGCCCCAACGCCACTGGTCTTTCAGTTGCTCAAATGAGCCGGGCTCCTTTTGTCTACACACTGTGCCTTCTGCCAGAAATGCTCTTGCCTTTATTTCCATCCCTCACACACATTTAACTATTCCTTTCCATCCTTCATGTTTCATGTCTCAGCCTACACACAGCTCTTCCTCAGTGAAGCCTTTCTTAATCTACATTCCACTCCTGTGCCAACTAATATAGGTACTCTCTTCTAACAAATTGTTTCTTTCTTTTTTCATGTAGCGTACTTGAAAACAAGAATGAGTTTATTTATCAGTTTGGTGCCTTTCTACCACCCTAACCTATCGGTGCCGCGAGGGCAGAGCAATGGCTGTTTTCTCAATGCTTAGAATGGCGTCTTGAACATAGTTGGCACTCAATAAATATTTATTGAACAAATGAATGAAAACGCACAGTAATTCGACCTACAGTGAAAGTGAAGGGCTTCCCCAGCATGTGCTGGTCCATTTGAGGTTGTCTGGACTGGAGGAACGTCTCTAAGCCTGGAAAGGTTAAAACACTCTTCAAAGTTTGAATACTTATGTATCCAAACTCTAACTCATGCATTGAGTTTTAAAAATATAGGTGTGAGTGGGAGGTAAACTTGAATTTTACATAGAAAAATCTGTGTTTATGATTTTAGTGGTGGTATTCTAAGTATGCTGTTTATTACAATAATTGGCGTGTTGTTTCCGTGGGCGCTGACTCAGCAGAAAACGAGCCACTTTTGAAAGCAGTTCAAAATCTGCAGATGACCCGTCAAAAGGGTCATTGTCAAAACAAAAGGCCTGTGTGAGATTAACTCATCTTGAGAAGTTTTCCCAATTTCTTGAGCTTTTATACTATTTTATGCTATTGTTTAATTTAGGCATGTTCTCAGTTATCTTTGTTAATCAGTGAACAGTTAGTTCATACACTTCTGAAGATTAAATATGATTTAATTTACAAGATTAAAGGTCTAAATAGTAATTTTTAAATTAATAAATGATTTCTTTTTTCTTTCCTAATATTTAATTTGCCTTCAGATATATTCACAAAATATTTTTAGTGCTGTCAAATGTTTTTTAAGTCCTGCGTCTTTTCAAACTTCAGTATTTCAAAATCAATATTTCCATGTTTTACAAGTATATACAAGAAGGTATTTATCATTTGATCATTTAGGTATAGGAAAATTCTATAGACCAGAAGGACTATTATAGCATTTGTGCTTCTGTCTTTTATAGTGGTTGACATTTGTTGAAAAATTAGATTTTTGGAAATTTTTCATTACCTTTCCATTATCTCCATTACATTTCCTCTTTTGAGAAAAAAAAAATTTCTCAGGCTGATTTGGATTAAATCAACTCAGTACAACCTGCCCTTGTGAAAGCTTAATGGTTTCCGTAGCAAAAGTTTCTGATTTACCTCTTCTCCACCATTTTCTGAGTGAGTTAAAGAGTCATTAGAGATCAAAGTGTATTTTGCTTCTCTGTTACCACCAAAAACTATTGAATTTTGAACCCCTGAACGCTCTCTTCTAGCTGCTTTCGAAATCAATTGAACAACTGAAGCAACCAGGCAGTCACCTCGAAGAAGCAGAGGAAGAGCTTCAGGGGGACCAGGCGATGCAGGAAGACAGAGCGCCCTCTAGTGGCAACAGCACTAGGAGCGACAGCAGTGCTTGTGTGGACGACACACGGGGACAAGTTGGGGCTGTGAAAGTCAAGGAGGAACCAGTGGACAGTGATGAAGATGCTCAGATCCAGGAAATGGAATCTGGGGAGCAGGCTGCTTATATGCAACAGGTAATAGGCAAAGATTTAGCTCCAGGATTTGTAATTAAAGTCATTATCTGAATATGGAATGCACTGCAGGTTTTGGTTAGTGGATATTATTTGCTATCCGTTTATATCTCTGAATGATTTGATTTTAGTGTTTAAGGATTCTAACACAGATATATCTATATAGAGATCTCTCTATATAGTGATCCCTATATAGATATCAAGGTTTCATTGAAACTCCACTGGTAAGGAAATACCTGTTACACTAAAATTGTACTACATAAGTATCCAAGTAATTAATAGGCTTTAAATCATCCCAAAGCCTGCCACACCAATTACTTCTAAGGAAAACGAACTCACTGTTTTTTTGTTCTTTAGTTTATCTGTTGAGATCACTGACTGCTGGATATAATTCCCCAGTCTGATCAATGAAGCATTCTATTAGTTCTTGATTTTTTTTTGTTATGTAGAATTCAATTTTCACATCGTTGTACATAATGTATCATACTACAGTCTTGAACACTGTTAAAGGTAGTTTGCCCTTCCTTCCTTTCTCTTTTTTGTTAAGTGAAATGTTATGGTTACCATGCCAATACTCCTAGGTCACTGTATAGATTGCAATTGAAAATATTAGGAATAGAGGTGGTTTTCAATATATAGATGCAAAATACAGCACTATTTTAAATATTACATTATGTGTCACCTAGCACTGCTCATTTTACTTTTATCTTGTGTTACTTGATGACATTGTCTATGAAAAAACATCAAATGAGGCAGATGCAAATATTGGCAAGAAGTATTGTGCAGCTTTATGGTCTAATCAGATACTATAGTGTATCTACAGTTGTAGAAAACACAGTTAACAGTATGATTATTGTCTGCTATGAAGTCAAAATCATGTTTAAAAGAAGGTGTGTCAGATTTTATAATCATTACCCCTAGGATCTCTTAAGTATAATTCCATAATGACATGGCATATACCATACCATTTTGGCAAATAAAAAATTAGGAAAGCTAGGTCTAACAAAAGAATCTACCTGTACGTAATGCACCTTCTGAAGGACTGTGTCCTTTGATGCTCTGAAATACAAACAACTTTGAAGGCAACAGAAGACTCTGTTTATTTAAGTCAGTTCTTTGTCAGGTTCCTGCTGTTCTACAGAAAGCTGATTCTGTGAGGCTGAACAGGAAATGCCTTGTGGAAACAGGAAGTCCAAGTGATTCATGTACTGGGGAATGTAGGGAAGAAAAAAAAACGGAGGATAGTGTTTTACTCATTCTGTTTTTAAAGGGCACTCTATGAATTGATTTATTGTCTAAGAAAATAACACCACAAGTAGGGAAATTGTTAAGGAAGCTTTTCACTGGAACATTTCCTTCATACTCCCTTTTGATATGTTTACCTTGTTTTATAGGTTTACTTTTGTTAAGCTAGTTAAAGATTCGTTGTATTAAGACCCCTTTAATATGGACAATCCAAATTGACCTAGAATCTTTGTGAAGGTTTTTCTATTAAAATATTTATATTTCTAAATCTGAGGTATTTTAAGGTATAGTATCCTGTTTCAAAGGAGATACAGCGGTTTTGCCAAATGCAGACATTGTACAAATATATGTTATTGGCATGTGTTGTTTACATTTTGCTGTGACATTTAAAAAATATTTCTTAAAAAAAGGTTACTGCTAAAGATACATTATCCTTTTTAAAAAAGTCTCCATTCAAATTAAATTAACATAACTAGAAGTTAGAAAGTTTAAAATTTTTCCATATAATGAAAGTCCTGATAATTTGACAAATAGCTATAAGAGGCAACACATTCTATTACCAACCTATTTTGGCTAGTCTGTTCCTTCAGATTAAAATGACATTTTGTCAGTTGTTTTGCATTAAAAATATGGCATTCCTAACATAAAATTGTATATTTTTTCCATCTCATAAATATACGTTTTCTTTAAAGTCTTTTTTTCAATCTCATAAAAAAGGGATAGTGCATCTTTTAAAATACATTTTATTTGGGGAGGAACATGTGGCTGAGCAGGCTTTTGTATAATATTACTTCAAAGATATGTAATCACAAACAAAAAAAAAACCCTATTTTTTATAATGTCATTTGAGAGAGCTTCATCAGTACAGTTGGTGGACATTAATTGTTTGAATTTGATAGTCTTTGAATTTAATTAATAAACTACCTGGAACCAGTGAAAAGAAAAGCTGGACTTAATCTTAGAACTAATTGATAATTGTCTCTTTTAAAATCTACTGTATTTATTATAATTTACACCCTTAAAGGTGATCTCTTGTTTTGTGTTGTAAATATATTGTTTGTATGTTTCTCTTCTTGCCTTCTGTTATAAGTCTCTTCCTTTCTCAAATAAAGTTTTTTTTAAAAGATCCCCTTTCATACATATGGCTTTGTGTAAACTTGATATATATAATTGAATTTGAAGCTCCTGCACTAGGTCTCTTATACCAAAATATATTGCCATTCTTTGTTGAAACAAGAAAATAAAGATATTTTCAGCAGTTACTTCTAAAACCATTAAAAAATAAATAAATCCAACAATAATGAGTTTAAACTATTTACATAGCCATTATCAACTAGCAAACACACATAAATTTTTTTGCATTTCATTTCCCCCCCTGTGGCCTTTATCATGATGTGTTATCATCTTTGATGTCAACTTGCATATAAAATTTTATATAAATAGATGTCAGTTCCTAACTTTGAACAACTTAAAAAATTATTTTTAAAAAGGTTAATATAATCCCTTGAATATAACAAGCATTCAATAAATATTCAAATGAGTAATTTTCCATGTATCGTAATACTTTTATCTATTACAATGACAGCCTGACCTACAAGTATAAACGGACAGTACAGAAATTTAAAGAGAAAAGAGTAATTAAATGACCTCCCCTGATATAGAAGCAATTAATACTAGTTTGAAATACAAGGAGCCTGACTCAGATAAAGGGAATTGGGTCATACACATCCATAGGCCTTGGTGTACCTTCTTCCTCTTACGGTCAGTTGCTCGCAAAGCTTACCAGTCAATACTTCATAATGTGTTACTATGTATTTGGTTCAGCAGGTTAAAAATATTTGTTTTATGTTCTTTGATTCCCTTAACCTAAACTTTAATAGAGTCATACAAATTAAAGTTATCCTAAGTCACAACAAGATGGCACTAGCTTGTTAAGAATACTGGAGCTAATATTGACCATTACAAAAGGGATTATCATTCATAATGCGATACATTTGATAATTTGGTCAGAATTGTGGAAATACCACTGATATTAGTTATAATATCCTGAACATTGCCTTTGGACTGTGAAATTATAAGATTAACTTGGTACTGGAGATCTTCAAAAAGAGTTGGAGGCATCAGTTAGATACTGGTTGTATACTGTATATCTGATTTCCAGAGTGTAAAGTGGCTGTTTTAATGAAAAGCATCAATCGCATATTAGAAACTTTTTCTTCAGTAAAATAGTTTTTACGAGGACTTCAGTAAGTAACCATTGGATTTTCTCTTCTGGCTGTAAAAAGCAGCCTTCTCCTTCATCAAGGTGGCTGTTGAAATGGAGATTGCTACCTTTCATAGATCTGAGACAGTCTTTTTCTTCTAAAGGATGTTAAAAAGGAGTTCAGACACTAAACTTTTTTTTTTTTTTGAAACCTAGTACTCAACAGATATATAGAAAGACAACAGTTTTACTTTTTTTAATTTGGCATTTCTTTGTGATTTTTTTTTTTAAATAATGGAAGCATGCAATTGTGGGTATATAATTGTGGGTTAACAATGATAAATAATCGAGATCTTCAAATTATAACCAATTATAATCAGGGACTTGGAATGCAAGAGAAGGAGTTTGAGAGGTAGATTAGTGTTCCCTTTATAATTGATCATTTTAAAGGAAAGTATGGGAGGGCAATCAAATAAATCAGGCAAATAAAACAGGATACTGAGGATGTGACTTTTCAGAACTTAACAATTTAAAAAGTTTCTGTCCTCATTTTATAATCAGTTCTTTAAGGCTCATAAACTGGAGGGTTTAGACAATGAAACTTTAGGGGACCATCTGGATTTACAAAAAAGACTTTTAACTGTTGCAAACATACAATGTACCGTGTATTGTTTTAAGCACTTTACATCTATTGATTCATTTAATCCTCACTACAACCTCATGGGTAGGTAATTATTGTCCTGTTGTAGGGATGAGGGCACCGGAGCACAGACAAGTTAAGTAAGGTCAAGGTCACCCAGTCAGTGAAAGTCTAGCTCTGGTTTGAACCCAGGCACTCAGGAACCAGAGTCCATACTTGTGTGCAATCTTTACCACCTCACTATATTTGTGCAACAATTCTTTTTACATGTCCAAGTTTATTAATTTATTGGTACTTGGACTCATATTCTCTTTCTCTCTCTCCCTCCCTCCCTCTCTCTTTCTGCCTATCAACATTCCCAAACTGTTGTGAATCAATTTTGCTATAAGTTAGGAGATTAGGACTCTTTCTAATTCACAGATGAGAGACCTAATTCTTGTATACATTATGTTCAACATTTTGAGTCACGAAAATGTGTGAGTTTCTTTTTTCTGTCCAGAGCCGGTCCTGGGATGGAATGAAAAAGAGTGACTGCATTTGGAATTAACTTTTTTGGGAAGAGAATGAGAAAAGGTTGCAATTAGCTCATAGGTCTTCTTCAGTATTTTTTACCTTTATCCCCCAACCAAAGCTAAGAGACTCTCAATTTCTAAGCCATTAGGATGCTGCCTTTTAAAAAACTTTTTTTTTTTTTTAAAGATTTTATTGGGGAATTGGAGGAGGGGAAAAGCGCTGGGAAATCGGGGGAAGAGGAACAGACAAGTTGCTGTTGTTTTGTTCTTCAGTCTAGTTGTGGAGGATGTTGCTTCACTGGCCCAAGCTGGCACCATCATTGCGCTCTTCCTGGGTGAGGCAAATCAGTCACCGGCTTCAGGACGGCCGCTCACTGCGGCTGCTGGCCACTCACGCTGGCTG